GGGAGGGCAGGTGGGACGGGGGAAGATCAGGGTCAAGGGGAATGAGCCTTAGCTTGTGGGGTAGCAGAGTGACAGGATCAGGTCCTACCTGCAGTTTACGTGGATTGCACACTCCATCCCAACATGCACGTTCGCGACGGGCTTGTAGGAACCGCCTCTTGATGGATTTGCAGCCTCCAAAGGCACTGTGTCCAGTGCGCAGGCAGGTCAGCAGTCAGATGGCAGTTTAAATCCTGGCTCTACTGCTGACTAGCTGTGACATCTTGCGTAATTCTCTAACTGCCCTAAGCATCAGGCCTTCTATCTAAGGTGCAAACATTGGTATTGACACCAACTTTACAGAGTTCTTGGGAAGATTAAATGAGGCAGTCTGTGTAATCAATGAAAAATAGGTGTGATAATCCCTAACCTGGGGCCCGATAGGGCGAGAATTATCTCACTCTTAGATAGTGCTTTACAGACCTTGTCTGCTGGTCCGTGTGACCTGTACCTGTCAGGACAGCCTTGAGCTGTGAGGTTCTCCGCTCACCTGCTGCGCTTATGCGTTTACTGCTGTTCTCTTCGTGCGTCTGACCCTCCGGGTGGACGAGAGCCGGTCTCTTCCCAGAGGAGGGCTCCCTGAAGCTCCGACTTGAAGGATATTTGTAAGTTTGCCAGAGCTCCTAGCCGGATGCATTGCTGCTGCTGCGCTCCCAGCATGATGGTGGCTCTTTTTGTTCCGGTATTCATTCATCCGTTCAGTCATTCATCCATTCAGTCATTCATTCATCCGTTCAGTCATTCATTCATTCAACTAATGTGTTCTAGGTGCTAGGTTACTGCAGTTAGTCCTGACCCTAGCGGGAGTTCTGTTCCAGTAGGAGAGAGAAACCAATGAACAGATATAAAACACACACGCCCGGGGAGAAAGAAACAGGATCAGGGGGATGGTTATGTGAGATAAAGTCAGAGTGTGCTGCTTGCTGAGGAAGTAATTCTCAGTCAGACACTTGAGTCAAATAAAGGAGCAGGCTGCCTGGGGAGGAGCGTTCCCGCAGAGGGAAGAAGGGCGGCTGGAGCTGGGTGGAGGAGCCACGTTGCATACAGCTGTGGGAAGTTTGTGTTTTTCCGTGTGATAGACAATTAACAGTATTTTGAAGTAGGAAAGTGTTATTGTCTACTTAGAGTTTTGACAAAATTTCCTTATTTAACAATTTTTTTTCTTCTTAGTGCCCCACAGTTGTTGGCTACTTCGGGCAAATACAATACCCTGGGCTGGTAACTGTAGGAAATACTCCGATTCATTCACAGGCTGTGGCCAAGCTCGGGTCCTTTCTTCCTTTTTTTGTTAATTCTCACCTCAGGATATTTCTTTCACTGATTTTCAGAGAGAGTGGAAGGGACGGGGAGAGACATTTCGGCTGCCTCCGGCACATACCCTGACTGGGCCCAGGGCGGGAATCAAACCCAGGACCCTTCAGTCCTCCAGCTGGAGCTTGTTCCACTGAGCCAAACCGGCCAGGGCAGCATCCGTTATTTCTACTCTATTCTCTATTTGAGCTTAACAGTAATACACATTTTAAAAGGCAGGACTCCCATAAACCCATTTCATATTAGATCTTTGTCTAGACCAGCCATGGGCAAACTACAGCCCGCGGGCCGGATCCGGCCCGTTTGAAATGAATAAAACTTAAAAAAAAAAAAAAGACCGTACCCTTTTATGTAACGATGTTTACTTTGAATTTATATTAGTTCATACAACACTCCATCCATGCTTTTGTTCCGGCCTCCGGTCCAGTTTAAGAACCCATTGTGGCCCTCGAGTCAAAAAGTTTGCCCACCCTGGTCTAGATCCTGCATATCTTCTTTAGTTTGGTTCTGGATTCTTCCTTTTCCTCGTGACATTTCTCCATAACTGTGTTTGCCCAGTCTTTTTATTAATCATTAACTTGCTGAGTTATTTTATTATTTAGTTAATTATTTAAATGGATTTTGAACAAGGCTTTACACGGAGGCAGGCACAGAGGACGGGCTCTGTGAACGTTGGGCTTTTTGTGCCCGTGAAGAAGGAATCAAGAAAACAGGCCCTGCCATTTGTCCAGCACCTGTGGAGACCCGGACGGTGAGCCGAGTCCGTAACTGACACTGTGTCAGTTCTCACAGCCGCTCCTTCGGGCGTGTAATCGTAGCTCCCTGCTTTACCAAAGGGGAGACTGAAGCCAGAGACCTCAAGTCAGTACCCCAGTTCTCACAGCTACAGAGAAGCGTAGTGGGAACTTGAACCAACATCTGATTTTGGAGCTTGAACATTGAATTTTAACTAGCACAGTGTGCCAACGCTCAGCTACCATGTTCTTTAACAATTTTTAAATAAAATTAAAAACTTTTAATTTGGAAATAATTTGAGGCTTACAAAAATGTTGTAAAATAGTACAAAGAATGCCCATACACCCTTTTCCTGTAGTCCCTAAATGTTAACATTTTACTATGTTTGCTTTATGATTCTGTCTACTTGTTTCTCTGCTCACATGGATATGCATTTACATCTGGTTCTTTTTTTGCATTTACATCTGGTTAAGCAGTCCCTTTTCTAGAAATTGATTCTGAAGATACACCTCCACCAATATGAAAATACACATCCATAAGGGTATTCATCATAATGCTTATAATTTGAAAATATTTAAAACAAATGAAGTGCCCATAAGTATGAAAGTGGTTGAATAAACTTGGTATAGCCACATATAATGGGGGTATTATGCAGCTGTGAAAGTGAATAAGGAAAATCTTTACCAATAGATGTGGAGTGATTTCCAGGATAAATAGTAATTTTTTTTTTCTCATATGGAACGCTTCATGAATTTGCATGTCATCCTTGCACAGGGGCCATGCTAATCTTCTCTGTATCGTTCTAATTTTAGTATATGTGCTGCCAAAGCCAGCACTAAATTGTAATTTAAAAAAGTAACAGTATAAAAGAGTATGCTGCATTTTGTGTAAGAATGTGTTGGATTTTGCTAGTAATTTTCACATTGATACTGCTACTGGGCTGTAAAATTGTTTTATGCTCTCTTCATCAGGTTTGGTTATCAGCGTTATGTAATATTTGTCCTGTTTTTTCCCTACGTGATGTGTTTTCATTGCTCTTTCATTAAAAATATTTTTAGAAAGTTTGATTCTTGTTATAATGGCTACGTTTGTACTTAGACCCTTTTAAGTGCCTTTATTCCCATTTTCTTATTTAACCTTTAATTATCTGGTTTCCCAGTTCTTAATAGTATTCTTAACTTCTGCCTGCCATTAATTAATGCAGTAATCAGTGAGGTTATTTCACTGTTTTCTTCCTCTTCTCCCAGTTTTTAGTTGAATTATTTTTATTTTATTTTGAACATAACATATTTTACAAGGTTGCTAATTTAGCAGCACATTACCACTTTGCCATTGTGGTAAAGTTTTGTTTTTGTTTTAAAACTGGATGGCAGTTTTAGAATATACCAGGGAGATAGATTGTGCATTTTAAATTTTTTCTCCATGTTGAAGGGCCTTATAGTTTCCTTTGTTCATTTTCTCCTTGGCTGTGAGGTCCTTTCTGCTCTTTCCTAAGAGTTGTTCCAGGGCCACCTTTCCTGTGTGCACACTAGGTCTCTTCTCTTCCTTGTATTCTGCTGTTATCAGAAATCTTAAAAAAAATTTCTTTTGTACTTAGAGTGGGTTTTCTCTTTTTGACAGTGACCTTTAGATTTATCCTGCCACAGGCTGCCGCACTCTGTTTTCTATCCACTGGCTGAAGTCAGTTTTAACCATCGGCATGGGAGCCCCTAGGTTTTCAAAAAAATCCCAACTGGATTACATTTTACAGTTTCTCTGACTTCTGTGATTCAGCCTGCACTGAGTTCAGACCAGGGATACAGAAGGGGACAAAAAATAGTGAACTCGCTGCAGGTCGGGTTGTGTCCCGTGATCTGGTGCGGAGTTCAGAGTTGCGTTTCATGGGAGAACCAGCTGTCGGGCCTCTGTGTTTCCTGGAAGAGAACATGAACGCTGTCCTGTTATTACTGGTGGCCATGGGCTACGTGTATGTTCCCTGTGCTGTCTGTCGGGTCCTCAATAGCAGAAAATTGCTGAGGGAACAGCTGAAAGTCTTGTGACCTGGAGCAGGCAGGTTAAAGCTGTGCGGGAGAAATCAGTGGACAGGTCTGGCTGGCTAACTACTCATGCCCCCAGGTGACTGCGTCCCGAGTTGTTTGTGGCTGAAATATAAGTCAGCCAAGTCTGTTGTAAATTGTGGAGGACCAGAATGGTGGCAATGGCAGGCTGCAGGGAAGGTGGGGGTGTCGTCCCCAGGGACCTGTGCTCCCTGATGTACCTCAGACCCGGGCAGCTCGCACTCCTGGGGAAGGCGATGCCTCAGTGTTCCAGAGAGGTCAGTGTTACGGGCCTTGCCTGCAATGCCGTCATACTCCCAAGGATGGCTATAGATGTCTTATTGCCCCTTTTCTCCAGGGTCAAATGGGATAACGGGGATTGTATAAGAAAACCATTTTCTCTCCCCCCTCCCCCATTTTCTCTTGTTAATGGAAGTTTCCGTTTTCAGGTTGAGTGAAATGATCTAGTGCTGAGTCCTCTCATTTATGACTGTTGACCCTTTTCTTGTCCTTGTGTTTTACAGAATGCAATCTTCCTTGAGAAATCACATTCTCAGGACCAGAAAGTGAATGCTGCGTTTCCTCCATTTACATTCTAGGTGAGCTCCATTTCCTCAGTCTTTTGAAATGTCCCTTTTTTCTTCTAAAAGGCATTTCCTCAGACCCGCTCCCATGGCATCAGCCTTTGTCCTTTACCGGATAAGGACACTAGTAGAACTGTAATAAGCTGCTTATGAAGCACCAACGATATGTCTGAACTGCTCTGTATACTAAGGGAAGAGCAGCGATCAAACAGACGTCATGTCATATTCTAACCATAGACAGCAAGTCAGTGAGTACGTGTGCACTGTATTGGGTGGTAAGGGCCATGGGGAAAAACAGCAGCAAAGGGGACAGAGAATGCCAGGGCAGGCACTGCTTACCAGAGTGACGGGAGAGGAAGAGCCTGGGTTGGAGATCACCCAGACCATGAAATAAATAATAATCCCTAGTACGTTCCATATATATTGCTGATTGGTTGATACTGGCAAAGAGAGACTGATTTCAGCCCCTGAAAAACCAATAGCATTATGTACCCTGATGCAGAATTTCTGTCTTTTCAACAGTGATGTTAATTTTGAGCATTCTTTTCTTAGTTGCAGGAATATAAATAATACTTCTCTTTGTCTCACAGTGTTGGAAATACCGAGTAAGAAATTAGTGTGTATGATGCTGGAAACTTGTAGAGACAAACAGCTCATGACTCAAAGGCCTAAAACAAGTGTGTCATTCAAGTTCTTATCAGAAAAATGACAATGAAGATGATGGGTCAAGACGACCAGTGGAAAACTCCCTAGGAGAGAGCCATAGAAATGTGCACTTCAGAAAAGAGAGCCAATCAGAGAACTCAGAAAAGGAAATTATATCATGCGCGCCCTCAGAAGGGTCAAAAGATTTTCATTCATGTGCATGAGATTACTCAAATAGATGATCAGTTATACCAGTGCCTTGAACGCGAGCAAAACTTCTATGAGAACTTAGCTCTTATTATGTGTGAGAGATCCCACACTGGGGAGAAACCTTATCGATGTGATATGTGTGAGAAAACATTTATCCAGCGCTCAGATCTCATTTCACACCAGAGGATCCACAATTATGAGAAACCTTATAAATGTAGCAAATGTGAGAAGAGCTTCTGGCACCACTTAGCCCTGTCAGGACACCAGAGAACACATGCAGGTAAAAAATTCTATACGTGTGACATTTGTGGCAAGAATTTTGGACAGAGCTCTGATCTGCTTGTCCACCAGCGAAGCCACACAGGTGAGAAACCATATCTGTGCAGCGAGTGTGATAAATGCTTCAGTCGAAGTACAAACCTCATTCGGCACCGAAGAACTCACACCGGTGAGAAACCATTTAAGTGTCTGGAGTGTGAAAAAGCTTTTAGTGGGAAATCGGATCTCATTAGCCACCAGAGAACGCACACTGGCGAAAGGCCCTACAAATGTAGTAAGTGTGAGAAAAGTTACCGGCACCGTTCAGCCTTCATTGTTCATAAGAGAGTCCACACCGGGGAGAAGCCCTATAAGTGTGGCGCCTGTGAGAAATGCTTTGGCCAGAAATCAGACCTTATTGTTCACCAGAGAGTCCACACCGGGGAGAAGCCCTATAAATGCTTGGAGTGTATGCGAAGCTTTACTCGGAGTGCCAACCTGATCCGGCACCAGGCAACTCACACACACACTTTTAAATGCCTTGAATATGAGAAAAGTTTCAGCTGTGGCTCAGACCTTATTGTGCGTCAGAGGATTCACATGGAGGAGAGGCCACACCAGTGGTCTGCGTGTGAGAGCGGCTTTCTCCTCGGCGTGGGCTTTGTTGCCCAACCGAAAACGAGAACTCAAACAGAGGAGCTGCGCTACCAGTACAGTGTGTGTGACCAAGGCTTCCGCCAGGGCTCCGCCCTCCTCCAACATCCGACAGTCCACCTCGGTGAGAAACCATCTCTCTGTCAGGCGGGTGAGAAGGGGCTTGAGCTCAGCCCTCCCCACCCATCAGAAACCTCACAGACCTCTTGGCCAGACAAGAAGTTATAACACCACAGAGAAATGCACTTACGAGTCAGAGAACTCATTAAGACGAAAAACTGTAGGCAAATCTTAGACCTTTGGAAGAGCTCAGACTTCACGGGGGACCAGAGAATCTGCAATTTTAGGAAGTTGGGAAAGGGTTTGCCCAGAGAGCCACCCTAACAGAACACCTATCAGTCACTCCAACAAGAAACCTTCTAAGGCCTTCAGGTTTGGAAAACCTTTAGTCTGAGCTCAGAGCTGATCCCCACAAGAGGACTCGTACCGGTGGGGAACCTTGGAGATGCAGAGTGAGAGAGCTTCTTAGCAATGCTCACTGCTCTCTTTCTGAGGGAACTCGCACCAAAAGAAATGCCCTTGGTGTGAGCAGTGCTTCACACACTGTGTACAGCTCACTGGACGTCAGAAAACCCACACTGGGGAGAAACCCTAGCAAGTGTGGAAAAAGCTTCCAACAGAACTATGACTTTCTTACCCATCACAGAAGCCATATTGGTGAAAATGTAGGTATTTGTCTGGAATGTGGCGAAAGCATTAGATGGAGAATCTTCTTGGGTTTGAACAACACAAAAAGCCGTCTGAGAAGATCCCTTGTGACGTCTGAGAAAAGCTGTCCATGACCAGCTCCTTTGGTATACCAGGGAACTCACACGAATGAAAACCCCGTAAATATCTCGAGTCTGAAAAAAGTCCTGCTAGAAACCTCTACCTTTGGGCCCCAAAGAACCTACTCTGCAGAGAATTTTGCTCTAGTGAGAGATCTAGTTGTGGACCTTGTACATATAATAGATATGAGAATAACTGTGCTCACAGTTAGCTGGCCCCTGGGGTGGAGGCGGCTTTAATGAGTCCGTATGTAAACAGTTGTTAGGTACCCAGAAGCTTGTCGTGGGAGGAGCTTGGGCTGTTCAGAGCAGGCTGATGGGAAACTCAGGTGAAGATGCTTTTATCTGAACCACTTAGTTGACGATTGCTTTAATTTCTCTTTTTTTAAAAGTTGGAAATCCAGTAAAGGAAAGGACTGTGCCCTTGTGACAGATGGTGTGGCATGTGTCACTGTGGGGAAAGGAGAATACTTTCCCTCTTGATCTCTCTTTAAAAAAAAAAAAATTCTTGCCCAGATTGGTGACTGGTGTTTTGGGAAACTTGCTGGTAGTGAAAAGAACTAAGCAGTGGGAGGAGTTATCCTGGATTAGAACCCCCAAATGTTTCTCCTTTGGAGGGCCAATCTCATACAGAAGCAAAACCCCCAGGTTTTACTTGGTGTGAGTTGAGGCACACCCTTGACATTTCCTTTCTCTGAAATGTCAGTGTCACTGGTATTTGAAATTTCCACTCTAGAGATTCATCTCTTTTCAACTCAGAAGTGCAGATTCCAGGGTGACAGGTATGATGTTGCTAGTAAACACTTTTTTTTTTTACTTCACGTTTCATCTCTTTGAATGATAATATATCCTCATCAGCTCCGTGCAGAATGGCTGATGGAAGACTGGAAGAAAGGTTAGGCTTGCGCAGGCAAGTAACACACGATGACGCAGTTAATGGAGGAGCCATGCTTCTGGGGTTAACTATTCTGACGCCAAAGCATTGCTCTTTTCACTCCATTATCCTGCTGTTTATAGCAAATTCAGTCCCATAATGATATGCCTTTCATTTGCTTCATTCTGCCAGAATGAAGAAAAGAGAATACTTTTTATTCCCAGGGAAAGGATTGCAATCACAATATAAGATATTTATTTGGCTTGGAAACTAGGATGCTAAATGCTAGAGAGAAAAAGTAGTTGCCAAATTCATCAGAGGTTTGAGAATAAGCACTTATTTCCAGTTTAACAGAATAATTATATTTAATATTCTCTAGATGTACTGTAATTAATCCAGGAATCGATACATGGACACTTCTGAGGGTCTTTTCCCCTCAGATTAAAAGACATTTAATAAAAATCCTTAAGATTTCTGCAGTGTTTGGGACTAGACTGGTGAATAAATATTTTGTTGCTAGTCTGTCTGGTTGATCTGGTCGATCATAGCGAATCCTTGAACTCAGGAGCGTTGGCCTCAGACTCATGGAGGTGGCCAGTGGCTGCTTTGTGTGTGGCTTTAAGCTATGATCCTGATGACTGGCTGCTCATCTTGATAATCCTAGGGTCAGTGGGTGTAGCTCATAGTGATAGTAAGAAATCTGATTCTAAGGTGTTTTTTCTTTTAGTAAACAGATCCTGGGAGGTGATTCAAGCCGATATGTTTCTTTTCATAAATAGTTCTTATACCATGAAAAGTTGTCCAGTGTGGTAAAACACACACCATGTATTTGTTTTTCTTTTGAAAATCATGCCTATCACTAGTCTATGTTTGATTATTGTAACACTAAAATAGTATGGGTGTGTGGCATGGTGGTGATAAAATTAGTTCTGTGGCTACTTGTTAGTCACTAGAACTTGCAGAAGGGGACGGAGTTGGTATCATTGACAGGATGACTTGACCCTTTTTTCAGCTAATCTCGTGATGATTGTCTCTAGTCTTCAAGTAAATTAAAGATGGACCACCTCAAACACAGAACTTTGTGGGTATGAAACAAGTCCGAGGTCTTTTAACCATAGGGGAAATGTATTGTTACTGTTCCTATAGCATAACCTGAGGTTGGGGAGGACCACTTGGGAGCCTGTAACCAAAACTGGGAGGTAACTTCTGGGATGGATGGAGGTTCTCTTGAAACAGTGCCAACCTACATCTACCTCAGGTAAGTAGTTAGAGTAACTTTCAAGATTTCAGACCAAACAAGACACTTGTATTCAATGTATTCCCATGCTTTAATGTTTTTGTTTTCCCTTAATTCTTAAATAAACATGTTTTGAAAAACTGCATTTTGTCTCTACTATACTAAGAACAACCCCCCCCCCACACACACACACACACTTGTATTAGAATAAAGCAAATACTCAGGAATCCTTTCACAATATATATCAATTCATCGTGATGTACACTTTAAATATCTTACAATTTTATCTGTTAATTATCTATACTAAAAAAAGGGTAATATGCTAATTAGGCCAGACATCTTCTAGACGACCTTCCAGATGTCCTTCTGGACAAAGCCATGGTGGTGGGGCCGACACAGAGGCAGTTAGGGGCGATTAGGTCAGCAGAGGAGAGCAGTTAGGGGGATCAGGCCAGCAGGCAGGTGAGCGGTTAGGAGCCAGCAGCGGTCCCAGATTGCAAGGGGCATGTCTGGCAGTCGGACATCATGAGGGGTCCTGGATTGGAGAGGTTGCAGGCCGGGCTGAGGGATGATCCTCCCCCCTGCCCCCATGCACAAATTTCATGCACTGGGCCTCTAGTACTTCAATAAAGCTGAAAAAAGAATAAGGTGGATATTCATGTGGCTGGCCCTGAGTCCTGGTGGTGGTGGTAGTTAATGGACCATCTAGAATTCTGGTGCTAAGGCTGAGAGAGTGAAACCTGGAAGGAGTGTGTTCTGTGCTCTTTGGACAGTGGGTCCTTTCAGAGCCTCCCCACTGCATGACATAAACAGCACAGGGAGGAGTAATAGCTTTATCTGACCATATTGGCTAAAATTCAGTAACTACCAATGCACCATTAATGACTCGTGGAGTCCAGTGCCCTTGTTACCCAAATGTTAAATACATCAGGTTCCCAGAGAAAGACACCTGGGAGAATGTCTAGAGCAGCTCAGTTCTGTTCAACTTTCCCTGCTCCACTCGCTGGGCGGAGCGGAAGCGCCAGCAGTGCATCATGAGAACATGAGCACACCTATGGTGAGGTCTAGGTGAGTGGGGAAAGGGTTAAGTATCCCTTCCACTGTAGTTAGTGGACAATAGGTCCTGCCAAGAAACACTTCCTCTGGAGATGATACTGGACAAGTGAATCCAGACGTGGCTCCAACTTACCAGGAAATGCTGTCCTCACTCTGGTTTATAGGGACCTTACCATGAGAGGTAAATGTATAGGGCTGAGGTTTGTGGGTGAACCTGACAGGTAAGAGTTCTGAGACCCTCCTTAGTCAACATTTTGTGCATCTGACAGTTATACCGATCATACAGTTTAGCCTACCTCTATTGAACATCAACTTACCTACCCATCCCCATCCCCTTTTGTTCTTGATAATCCTACCCATGCCCTTTTGATAGAAATGTGGGTTGATCTGTCAATACAATTACAGTGAATACATACCCATCCCTGCAGTTCAGTGCTGTCTTAGTCCTGATAGAACAGCTTTTATACACATTGCACACGTGTTCCTGCTTCAGTGCAGGGTCTTTTGTCTGTGGCACCCTTATCTAGTGTTATCAGGCAGAGTGCTAGTTACATTTATGTACAGTATTATGCTCAAACCGGCAAAACCAATTTTCTGGAGACTTATGCTGAAATTATGATACTTACAATGTCAATTTTATCATTTTTAAAAATATATTTTTATTATTAGAGAGGAAGGCAGAGGGAGAAATGATGAGCAGAAACATGGATTGGCTGCCTCCTGCACAACCCCTACCAGGGACCAAGCATGCAACCTGAGTATGTGCCTTGAGTGGGAATGGAACCGGCGACCTTTCAGTGCACAGGACAGCGCTCCAACCTACTGAACCACACCAGCCAGGGCAATTTTATCCTTTTTTTCCACTTTGTCTCTGTATCACCAGGATTTCTTGGACAGTGTGTGAATAGTAGTGGTAATAGGAAGTATCTTCATTCATTCTTGATTTTAATTGAATATTTTAAATGTTTCATAATTAACTTTGAGATGTGTAGTAAGATCTCCCTGGATGCCCCTAAAGAAACTTTTGTATTATCAGACAGACTGTAAGGGTTTTTATTATAGAGTGTTAAATTTAGCTAAGCTTTGATCTACTACTCTATCTGCCCAGCTTGGATACTGGATTCTGACCAGTTTGATCTCTACAAGGCCGTGTGGAGACTTCTGTTATGGTGACACGTTTTCAGTCCTCTGGTTTACAGGGAGCGCCTCTGGGGCTGCTCTGCATGTTGTCTGCGAGGCTCCCGTCTGCGCCCCAACACGAGGTGCACCCGAGCGGGTCACTGTGCCACTACGTCGTGGCGTTGCTCACCTGTGCACTGCTTTCCACCCAACACTCCACCCTGGGAGCTGTTTGTGATTACAGTTCACCAAGCTCTTCCAGACTTCTGTTCATTCTTTAGGAATGATCTGGAAAAGTTGGTGAAAAAATGACCCCATCTCTGAAGGCTGTGATCAGGAATCATACCTTCCCACAGCCCCTTACACACCACACATCCACCATGATGCCTCTGTACGTTTATTCCTAAATACCCGCCCTTTCCTGTGCTAGTCCTAAGGCCAAGGAGTACGTGTTGGTACGTGCCGTCATTCACAGCCGCGTCGTGACTCGGTAAATCCTAAATTAGACAACTGGTTGTCAGATGAGACAAAACAGGCATCTGCAGTTGCCATAATCCTGCCACTAGCATGAATTAGGTGCTTCAGCCAGGCATGTGCAATAGTTGGAGAGGGGAGGAGAGGCCCAAACTATATCTGGACTCACCAGAAACTCCTGGTCTGAGAAACAAACTGTCTGCCTGAGTAGCCATTATCAGCTACTAGACAGAACTCTGGGCTGGGCTGGGAGATGGAGGGGACTCCCTGGCCCTCAAGAGTCCTTGACCACCACGGGGTCCCCCATGCTCTCTGAGGGCGGTGGGGCTCCAAAGATCCTAGCGAGGAGCCCTCGGTTGGAGCGAGCCTGGTCCTGAGCATTTGCCAGGCGAGCCCGTTCACGACCCCCTGGACGAGCTGCCTTCCGGGCCCTCAGCTCCTGCTCAGTAGGTCGCTGGGCAAAGGTCCAGGAGCCATTCGGCCGGGTAGCGTCCCCATCAGCAGCAAGGAAGCGCTTCCCCCGCTCCACACTTCGAAGATAGAAGTCAGTCTCACGCTTAGCCTGGGCAACCTCGGCTCTCAGGCGCTGCCTGCGCACCTGGCGCTCAAAGGCAAGATGCTCACTGAGGTGGGACCAGGTGAAACGGTGCAGGTACTGTAGACAGGAAAGCAAAAAAAGGTCTGGGTAGGACAGGCCAGGGATGGAGAGAAAACAGGAGCGGGCAGGGCCAACAAGAGGTCACAGAGTGCGGGGCTGGGGTTGGGGAGGTAGGGTGGGAGATGCAGCAGACAAGCCTATCCCCTCACCTTGAGGTTCCAGAGGTCATAACGGAAGGGGCTGCGCCTGCGGGCACCCATGGGTGTGTTGTGCAGACTGGCGGCCACACGCTTGGCTACTCGCTTGTCCCGGAACTCCACCCAGCCCTCTGTGTAGTCCTTGCTGTACTTGGACCGCTTTTTCCCGCCCGTGGCCGAGGCTGCCGCTGCCTTCTTCTTGCGCCGCACGAACCCGCCTGTGTGCCAAAGAGAGAGCAGTGGTCATGGAGACAGGCGCAGCAGCCACTCACTGGGTTCTCAAAACCTGCCCGCAGACCGGGATCCTACTTCAAGGTCTTCATAGGGAAGGGAGTTGAGAACTGCAAAGTCCACCCTTTCTCCCTATGCCTAACTCATTCCTTCCTCAATGTTAACGCCTGTCAAAACATAAATGGAGCCACTTAAAACTGGAACCAGAGCTGACATCCCAAAGAACTGCTTTGTATGTTTAGGCTCAAACCTCTGGATGTTTAAACGGCAAAATAACCTTTGGATTGGGCCTAAAACTTTGTGCCCCAAAGAACTCTGCAAAGATAACAAGAAAGCAGACATAATGACTAATGGACTGATAAATACCAGGCTGAAAATTAAAAACAGTTTAGAACCAGCATCCCGATGTTATCTGCACCGGTAGCAATGCCTTCCTTCTCCTGATGCAATTGTCCCCTTTTCTCATAAATATTTTTTGTGTGTTTGTCTCAAAATCAGAGCTAGACTTTTCGGGCCTCTTTTTTAAATATACTTTTACTTATTTCAGAGAGAAAGAGAGAGGGAAAGCACGCACACAAGCCGGGCACGCACACTTGCCGGAATCGAACCCGGGACCCTTCAGTCCGCAGGCCGACGCTCTATCCACTGAGAAACCAGCTGGTGCTATTGGGGCTTCTCCTGCATCAGTACTTTCTGAATAGCTCTGCTTATTGAACGCAAATAAATGCTTGTTGCTTCTCACTTTGCAAGGCCTTTAATTTAGGTGCTAACACTCCTGAATCAGGTCTGCCCTAAAACCTGCACAGGCCCCGACTCCACTCCCGGTTAGTGCCTGCCGGGCAGGTGGGGGCGGCTGATCAGACTGTCTCTTCACCTCGCCCGAAATGACAAAGGAATGTCTTCTGTTTTGAGAAAAAGCACTGCGATTTCATTCAGGCTGTACGCATTAAAACCTGGCAAATTCGGGCCAAAATAGGGGTGGGCGGAGGCGAGGTTAAAACCCAAATCAGCTCTGCGAGAACAGGCTGCGGGGCTGCGGGGCTGCGCCCCACCCCGGCCCCTACCAGACCCCCACACACCACGGACCCACCCCTCCACCCCCCACCCCCCGCTCCTCGGACCCGCGCACTTACCCTCGGGCTGGAAGAAGACGCGCCCCACCTCGCCGTAGGCGCTGAGAAGGTTCCGCACATGCAGAGGCCGAAAGCGGGGCGGGATGTGGCCCAGGTACACAATGCCAGGCACCACCCGCTTCTTGGCGCTGCCAGCCGCCTCTTCGGATTCCTCCTGTTCCTCCTCCGCTTTTAATTTCAGGTCTTTCCCTTCTAAAGGCTCCTGCTCAGCTTCTTCCTTCTCCGACTCCCCCGCCGCCATGCTTGCCGAGACGCGAAGCACGACAGCCGTAAAGCGCCGCGCCGTCGGACGCGCGCTGCGTGCGACGCCTGCGCGAGGGGGTGGGGCCTATGGGTT